AAAGGAGATCCCCATCAAACAGAACGACGGCAGCTGCGTGCCCGTCCACGTCGGCGAGGACGGCGCCATCTACGCCAAGCTCTCGGGCCCCGAGGTTCGACCCGAGCCGAAGATGCCCGAGTTCCGGGTGTTCAACTGGGCGGGCGTCACCGTCGACGAGGACAAGGACGGGCCCCAGCCGCCCGGCTACGACCCCTTCGGCCGGCGGGGGCCGGGCGTCGAGGGCCGGGGCAAGCGGTGCTACGACGCCTACGTCGCCGCGCGCGACGCGGGCCGCGACATGATGGAGGCCGTCGCGGACATCGAGGCGCTCGGCTTCGGCGACGAGCTCAAGCGGGATGGCGCGCCGGAGCCGGAGCCGGAGCCCTGGAAGGAGCCGGAGCTCGAGCTCGAGGACGGCGCCCCGCAGCCGACGCTCGAGGAGATCTGCACGGCCATCGAGATGGCCCGCGCGGGCGCCACGGAGGCGGACGTCCGCGCGGCCATCGACCGCATGCGCGCCGGGGACCCGGGGCCGAGCCCGGCGCCCGCGCCGCCGAGCCCGCCCGCGCCGAGCCCGCCGCCCGCGCCGCCGGCCGAGAAGGCGCCCGCGAAGGGCAACCGGCGGCCCCGGAAGGCGTCGCCGCCGCCGCCGCCGGCCGAGGAGCGCGCGCGCGACGACGACGACGACGTCATGCCGGAGGAGCCCGTCGCGCCGGCGCCGGAGCCCGAGGCCGCGCCGGAGCCCGAGGCCATCGCGCCGGCGCCGGAGCCCGACGAGGAGACGCTCACCGTGGCTCAGGTCAACAAGATGACCGTCGTTTTGCTGAAGAAGGAGCTCGACGCGCGGGGCCTCTCGAAAAAGGGCCTCAAGGCCGAGCTGAAGCAGCGGCTCCTCGACGCGATCCGCTAAGGGCGGTTGTTAGCGCGCGAGCCGCCGGAGGGCCCGGAGCGAGAGGAGCGCCGCGAGCGCGGGCGCGAGCGCGCCGTCGGACTCCGGGCGCGCGGGCGCGGCCGCCTCCCAGGCGACGCCGTCGTCGTCGCCCCGCGCGTCATCGTCGGCGATGCGCGACGCGTCGAGGAGCAGGGCGCCCAGGAGGAGCGCGTTGCAGAGCAGCGACAGGAGCAGCAGCAGGGAGCCCTTTCCGGCTTTCGGAGGAGGCGCGACGTCGGCCTTGAGAGGCACGGCGACGGCCGCGTCCGCGACGACGATGGTCTCCGTCGCGACCGCGCGCGTCGACGCGGCCTCGCTTCGAGGCGCCGCGGCGGCTCGCGGGGCGCGTTCGGCGGCGCCGTCGTCGCCGAGCGATCGGCGCCGCGGCTCCGAGGCGCCGCGCCGTCGCTCCGAGGCGTCGTCGTCGTACGGAGCGCGGCGCCTTGGCTCCGACGAGGCGACGCGCCGCCTTGGCTCCGACGAGGCGACGGGCC